CTCCCTCCCCAAAATCCCCACTTCTTCCACCAACCAAACCCGCCATCTCACCTTCCATCCCTCCGATCATGCTCTCCGCCCGGAAATCACCCATCAATACCCGATTGTGATCACAACCACATCGCCGGCCGACGAAGCAGCAGCAGCTGTCTCCAGCCCGCCTGTGACCGCTGAGCTGTACTACGCGGTCCTGGAGTCGATCGCGGACAGGATCGAGATGCACGGCAACGTGGCAGTCCAGCGGGACAACTGGAACTCCTTGCTCCTCTCCTCCATCAACATGTCCATCCTCGCCGCCACCACCATGGCCGCCGTTTCCCCCTCCGTCTCCGCCGATCATTCCCTTCCCTTGGCTCTCGGCTCCACCATTCTCTTCACCGCGGCGACCGGGCTGCTGGCCATCATGAACACCATCCAGCCGTCTCAGCTGGCGGAGGAGCAGCGCAACGCCGCCAGACTGTTCAAACAGCTCCACTCCAAACTAAACGGGCCCAAAAAAGCCCAACCCACAAAGGCCCAGGTGGAAGACGCGGTGGAAAAAGTGTTGGCCGTTGACCGCGCCTACCCTCTCCCGTTGCTCGGCAAAATGATCCCCAAGTTCCCCAAAAAGTTCCAACCCGCCGTTTGGTGGCCCCGCACAGAATCACCCAAACGACGCCGTAGCGCCAAGGTAAGAAATAGCAACAACGGATGGAGCGAGGAGCTGGAGGCGGGGATGCGGGAAGTCTCTGGAGCATTGAAGAGTAAAGACAAGGAAGATTACGAGAGGCTTGGAAGCTTGATGCTCAAGATAAACAAGACTCTAGCCGTCTCGGGGCCCGTGCTATCCGGCGTGGCGGCGGCTGCTTCTGCTGTTGGGCTGGCCCACGGTAACAACAACAGTTGGGCCGCGGCGGTGGCGGTGGCCGCCGGTGCGATGGCCACGGCAGTGAATACGTTGGAGCACGGCGGGCAGATCGGGATGGTGGTGGAGATGTACAGGAACTGCGCCGGGTTTTTCGACGAGCTCGGGGGGTCGATCGATGGTACCCTCAACGAGTCGGAGTTTGGGGAGAGGGAGAATGGTGAAGTGTTCGCGATGAAGGTCGGGCTGGCGCTCGGAAGGAGTCCGGCGGAGGTGAATGAGCTGGCTGGCAAGTGTGCTTACAGTAGGGATGAAGGCACGCCATTGGAGGAGTTTGCCAGCAAGCTCATCTGATCGTTCTTTTTGATAGTATTCACGTACATTGTTAGTTTGTAATTAGGGTTTATATTAGTACTAGCTAGCTAGGGATCGGGGATTGAACATAATCCATAATCCCCAATTAAACATTATTTGATTGGTTCTTTATTATTCATTTTTCTTTTATCGATCTTATTCAAAATGAAAAAGGTTCAATTAACGATTTCTAATCTCATGTACTGAAATACATACTTGCATTAGTTTTCTCAAGAGCACTTCTACTATGCTATATAGCATTAGTGCTTTAATGTACAACTCAAAGTTGTACCATAACATTGAATGTATAAGTTTAGGTTGTACCATAAAGCAATTTCTATCATTATGTTATGGTACAACTTTACAACTTGAAGTTGTACCATCACATAAAGGTACAAGTTCAAGTTGTACTATAAAAGAATTTGTACAAAAAGTATAGGTACAATCTAAAGATGTACCATAACGTAAATGTACAATTTTAAGTTGTACCATAAAGGCAAAAACCTATAGTACCAATACTATATAGCATTGTAAAATTTCTCGTTTTCTCATTTCTTCCATTATCAATTCACCAGTCAATCAAATCGGATTAACTAACCTGGCCTGTGATCATTGATGGTTTTGTTTCGCATCATCAACATATATATTAACTCATCAAAGCTGTATACATATATAAACATATAGTAGTTTGAGTTTACCTGCTTAACTTATATAAACAATTAAGTCCAAACGTTATATTAAAATTCTATAAATAACATCATCCAAATTTTCATACTTAAATCGAACAATTTTTTTTTTTTTTGTTAGGGGTCGTGAGGAATTATAACAGATCAATTTGGCTAGATTGACACAAATTGACCTGTTTAGCAGCATAAATTTTAGATGAATCAATTACGTCTGTGAAATTTCAAATGGACTCATTTTGAACCAATTACAATTTTCTGGGGTGGGAGCAAACAATTCGAATGGACTCGTTCGTAATAACTCATTTGTTAAATGAGACAATTGGTTGAATTGTCTTGTGTTTTAATTGATTTATCCAAAAGATCCTTTAATTAATTCAACTAATACGACATTATTTTTATTGGAAATCGAAAATTGATCATTCCAATCACAACACTCTTTTCTCGCCTTTGATCGTTTTTCCTGACTTGACAACGGGTTTATACTACTGATTGTCTCGCTATTTTCGTTTTTTGCAATAATAATTGAACCCAATTGTACCGTTGAGGTTTGACAACATGGGTAATAGTCAACAATGTTTTTTTTCTTTTTTCCTGAATCTACTTTCTGCTAACCGACGAGCTTAGGCGGAAACCTATTGAACGAAATCAACAAATGGTGGCATGTTTATCTTATATATTTCTTTCTGCATAGCAGCCCGTGCCGAACAAATGGGGAAACAGTAAAACGTATTATTATGTAGGGAGGAGGATAAGGTTGACTGCATGTTGCAGTGTACTATTGGTCTCTACTGGAATACTCGTTCGTTCTAGTTTGTTTTTCTCTGACCTTGACAAATCGGGAACTCAAATTCTACCCGTTTAAATTGAGAAACTAATTTGGGAAATTTGCTCTTTATCAATAAAAATACATTTAGTCAACAAGCCATTGGATAGGCAATTTAATTTGAATCACGTATTTTCATTGTGTTTTTTTTTATATATTGAAACCTGTAATCTTATTAATCAATAATCACAATATCGTCCGGTTTTAACTCATCAATCAAATAGACGGACAGCCTATCAAATAATAACACTCTTTTGTCCCTATAGGTCTCTGACTGAGCCATAATGTGTGCTGTCACATTTGCTTCCCTTGAGGTATGTCTCCAAGCTCCATTACCTGTCTGCAATAGGTCTCTGGGTTCCACAACCTTTGAATCATCATCATCATACAATTACTCTTCAGTATTGGGTTGGTGGTGGGGCTGGTTATTTGGTTCGGGTTATTTGGTTTTAATCGAAACTGGACAGTATAATCCGGACCGGAACCGGATATCAAACAATCCAATCCAAATTTCGGGTTTAGATTTGAGATAAAAAAAACCGTTTGAGACTGGATCAAAAACCGGATAAGAGAGCTCAACACCAAAACTTAACCAACTCCTGACCTTTTGAGTCCTCAGACTACTCAAATCCCCAAAGCTCAATCATCTAAAATCAAGACCGAATTGGGACCGAACCGGGTTAAGACCGAATTATATCCAATCCAATCTTTGGTCCTTATATTACTGAAAAGACCAGACTGGGACCGGATCAATTCGGGCCAATTAAACCAGACTGGACCATATAGCCACCCTAGTTGGAGGCATGTAATTAAAAAAGACGCCATTTGCACTCCTACTCAGCTGCAGTGCCTCCGTCAATTCCACCCTCGACTAGCCTCGAACTCGCTTTGTTGCAGCTAGGAGGAAAACATCGTTTCATCCCCGAGCCACCACCCGACCAGCACCTGATGTGGAAAATGTAGTATTGATGCAATCGGGTAATAATCATCATAGGTATGTCTAGGGTCGTATTCCATGGGGCTTTGGATAGAAACTACATTGAAACTAGAGGATGTAAATGTAAGGCAAAAAAAAAAAAAAAGTAAAGACGATGGGTTGAGGTTCCCTATGAGTTTACCAAATTTCTAAGCTAAATAAACAGGAAACAGCATCGAGATATTAAGAGACAAGTAATAAAAGTTATTGTCTAGATAGTGTCATCTAGATGATCGAGCATATATGATCTTCAATGAGATGCTCTTATGTATCGACTATTATGATGCCCTATATATCCCTACCTACAACTAATGTCATTCTATTCGAGTTTTCACCACATGCATTAGGAGCTATGATTAAATATAGTGTAATTTCGTTTCATACCACTAGTGTATACTATATGTGTACAATGAAATTAAACTCCATAGATTCTTCCTTCCACAACGTTCTTCTTTGCCCTGTGAGTGTGACAGCATCTCATCCCACGAGTTTTGTTGACAACAATTGAGACTAATACCACACTCAGCCACCTATTTTGGAAATGAGCATTGAACAAATAAAACAGGGTTGGACAACGAGATGGGATTGATTACCCTTCCCATTTAAAACGAGTATCCAATCCCATTTAAAAAGAAAACTCCATGATATTTCAAACTTGTATGGGTTAACGGTTATCCATTATCCATACGAAACAGATAACGAGTATCCGCCAATATCCATTTAAAATCCCACACCTTTTTTCTATTTTCTTTCCAAATTTCATCTTACTTCTTCAATGAACTCGTCTTTTTGTGAGATTTTTTTTTCCTTCTACTTTATCTCTTTTTTTATTCCACTAAATATAATTACCAATAAATTCTCTATATTTTTTGAGTCACTCTGAATCTTTTAATTAAGGGCAAATATGTCATTTGAGAAAAAAATAGACTATCTTTTAACAATTGCAGTCACCAAACAATAGAAAAAAATTATATCTTTTTTCGACCATAGAAAGAATTAAAATTTATAGATTGTTTAGGGTCTAAAATCACTCAAATTCTCTTACACAGCCCTTCATGGTTTCTGGGCAAAACAATTTTTTTTTTTTCAGGGATCAAACAGTAAAAGCCCATTGAGCCAGCATTCCCTTGGCCCAGGAAACGCTCTTCCGGTCTTCCCTCGACTCCATTCGCAATAACAAGGCCGAAGTAGCTATGTTGGGCTTAAGCATGGCCCATACATTACTCTCTTCGCCTTTGGTTGAACAAAAGTACAAAACCAATCAATTGTCACCATTTCCCAGTTAAAACTTAAAACTTAAAAGTACACCCACATCGATTCCTCTGGCTAACTATCATGAACAAGGAAACACTTCCAGATCCTAGTCAATTCCTGAAAGCAAAATCAGTTATTAGAGAGCTTCCCGCGCGCTTTTTTTCTGCTCAGTCGAAGCATGTCATTTTTATGCAGAAGAGTCCATCATGAATTCCGATGGTTACAAAGAAAAAGGAAGTGCAGCAACAAATGCCAGTAGTAATTCACAATGGTAAGAAAAAAATGCAAAAAACAGTATGCGAATAAAAACAAACGATCGAGGAAAAAAAAATTAAAACGAACGAGCTATGAGTTTATGACGGCTTGTAGTATTTGGTGGGCACGAACGGCATCTTAGTGACAACACCATCATAAGCCTTCCCACGCACCACCAACTTAACATTGGTGCCGGCCTTGTGCAGCCCAGATTTCACGTACCCCATGGATATGTTCTTCTTCAGGCAAGGACTGAACCCTCCGCTCGTCACTTCCCCTATGTTCGCGCCACTCGCATCCTGAATCTCACTGTGAGATCGCGGCGGAGGGCCCGAGGAAGTGAACCCAACTCGCCTGATCGTTGGGCCATCAGCGAGCTGCTTCAGAATCACCTCCGCGCCCAGGAAGCCACCCTCGGCTCTCCTGCGCTTCCCTATGGCCCAAGTGAGGCCTGCCTCAACGGGAGTTATGTGCTGCTCCATGTCGTTGCCATAGAGGCAGAGGCCAGCTTCGAGGCGCAGGCTGTCACGAGCGCCGAGACCTGTCAGCCTTATCTTGCCTTCGGATTTTTCCAGGAGGGCCTTGGCAAGGTCTAGTGCGTTCTCTGAAGGGACCGAGATCTCGAACCCGTCTTCGCCTGTGTACCTGGACAATGCACGCGAGGAGCATGTCAGTAGTCACGAACAAACGAAGTTACTAGCAAGGAATCTAAGTAGCATGCAAGTCCAGAGAATTAACTAGCTGACTGAACCAAGACAAGAACACACAACCTCGAATGAGCACTATTATTTGCTGTGGATGAATTTATATATGATTTCAAGAAGCTGAATAGATGACGAAAGCAGGAAGAAAAAGTGTGTACCCAGTTCGAGTGAGGAAGCAGGTAGCTCCATTGATTTCCAGAATACGGAACTCGCCAAAATAAAACTTGCTCAAATCGTCCTTTGTCAAGTGTTGAAGGACTGGAGCAGCAAGAGGGCCCTGCAAATCATACAAGCAAGACTTTCTATCAATTACAGATTCCGAAATCAGGGTGAAAATTTGGCTCTTAATCACCAAATCTAACTGAGGACTACATGATCTTCAAATACAAAAGCTTCCTCCTTCCGCAATCATACAACTAAACGCCACTTCACATAATATCCACAGAGATGAATATACTAGTAATACTACAGTGGTTCTACTGTTCTTTCTCGCATAGGGATGGGATGATGTCAAGACACTCAGAAGTGCACAATTTCCCCAAACCTTAGTAACAAAGTCTAAGGGAGCTAAAATTGGAGAAAGGAAAGGAAATGGACCTGGAGAGCAAGCAGGGATCTCTCATCATGGATATGCCAAGCGACATCTCCACCTTTCGCCTTGAAAGCCTTCATATGCTCCTCAATGTGAGCCAAATCCTTATCCCTACATCCAGCATTGACGACCAAGTAAATGTGATCCTCAGTGACCTTAGTGATGACCGAATCATCAATGGCACCACCCTTCTCATTGGTGAACACGGTGAGGCTGCCCGTCCCGGGGGCAAGGCTGGCCACATCCGCAATCACAAGCTTCTCCAGGAAAGCAATGGCGTCCTTCCCCTTGAGGCTGAGCCCGCACATGTGGGACACGTCGAAGAGGCTGCCGTTCTCCCTGCAGTTGACGGTGGAGTCCATGATTGAGTCCTTGTACTGGATTGGCATACTCCACCCGGCGAAGGGCACCATCTTGCCGCCGTGCTCGACGTGGAAGTCGTAGAGGACCGTCTTCTTGAGGTCCCCGCCGGATGCGAAGTAGCGGCGGGCGGCTGCGCTGGCCGATGAGGACTTCTTGTGATCAGGGCGGGCGAGTTGGCGGGCGATTGATTGGCCCAGCTGCCACAGACCTCCCCCTCTCATTGCGGCTGGCAAAAAGACATTGGAGCAACTCACTCAGTTACAGTTTTATTGCAAAACCAACCTACGGAATTGTATCCATCAACACATGGAAAACAGGAAAGGCAAGAACAAACAGCAAGAACACAAAAGATGAAAAAGGGTGAATGCGGAAGCCGGAAGGGTATACGGGGATGGTGGCGCTTACGGCGGAGTAGATGGCGGCGGTTGAGATTTGTGGGAAGGACGGAGGGAGAGAGGGTGAACGGAGAAGGAGAAGCGTCAGAGGAGCATTGCGGTGGAGAAAGGGGGGAAGATTGGGATTGAGATTTAGTTTGGGAAGTGGGGGGATTTTTGGCAGTATGTAGCGGGTGGAGGAGGCCTCTCTTTGCCCAATCGTGACTGAGTGGCTTTTATTTGTTTTCTATACTTTCCCTTTTTTCGGACTGACCAACCCCAAACTCCAACAACTAACCTCATCGCCGGACGGCGGTGCTGGGGTTGGTGACTGCGTGGTGCGCCGCTTAGCCGGCGGTAACCGACGTCATGAGTTAGTGGTGCACTGAATCAGAATCCACTTCTTCTTTCCCCTTTCCGTCGAAATTATACAGGTGCATTGTTGGGCCCATCGACCCAATGTATTGGTTGGGGCTCGAGCCCTGTCATATTACATTTGGGCTACAAAAGCCCATCAAGGTAGAACGGACACTCGGGCCCAGGCCAAGACGAAGAGTAGCCCGGCGCCAAAAAAAGGAAGGAGATTTCATAAAACTCAAAAAACCGAAGAGAAAATGAGAAATTGCCGTACAGTGGCGTTGCGACTTGCGGGGAAGCAATGGGTAAAGGGCACTGCGGTGCAGAATGCAGATGGCGGACGGACTACTAGTCTACTATGCGGGCTAGCAGATGATGAGTTCTTGAGAGAGAAAAGCATGGGGAAGAAATGAGCCAGACGGAGTTAATTCTCGACCCTTCTCGTCATTTTCCCTCTTCGATTTTCAATTTGGGTTAGAGTTAGATAGATGAATAAGAAAGGATTGGCCATCCTCATGCGAGCCAGAATGAGGGCAGCAGCTGCAGACGGTTCTTCTCCGGCGAGCACTAACACTAAGATCGCCCTTGCTGCCGCGCCTCTCCCTATGGCGGTGAGTAACCTAACCCCCTCTCCTCCCAATTTCCGGAGCTCGACTCTACTTCTGCTTCTGGTAACTGTAATTTTTGTAATCAGAGGGAGAGCGAAGCAATTCAATCCCACGGGGATGGCGATCGTCTGTACAAGCAACAGGGAAACGCTGCCGCTCCTTCACTTCCTCCTCAGAGGTTATACTTCTCGTTCCCGTCGTCGGTTGCTGGAATTCCATCCTTCTAAATTAACAACTGTATTTAACTTCTTCTTCATGGTCTCAGAAACCTCGACGTAGTTCGAGACGCAATGCACTCCGCCATATCATCGAGCAAAACTGAACTTCTCGATGCCGTCCTTCACGATTTCTCTCAGGTTCCCTCCCGCTGAATTCAGTTTGAATTTTCCACAGTTTTGCTTTACTTCCGACTGCCTGTTATGAAATCATTTCTCTGCACCTCTGCAGGGTTACTTTGCCCTCTCTCGTGATCACCGCCGCAGGCTATTGCTCATCCTTGCTAAAGGCTATGATCTCAACCGCAAGCAGGCTCGTGAACTGATGGATCAGCATCTGGGTCTCCTGCTTCCTGGTCTTTTTCACTTTCTCAGCTTCCACCTTCTTCTATTATTTTTAATAATTCCCGTGGCTGCTTCTAATCCTCTCATGCTTCCACTTCCTTAAGCTGGTGATAGAGGTGAATCTGATTCCCCACGCGATGAAGCTATGCTTTCTGCTTTCTATCGCATTGAAAGGAACCTCAGACAGGCTCTCAAGCCTGCCTATGAGGTCCTCTTTGAGAGACTCAACAACCACCCTGGTGGATTGAGATTCCTCTCCACCCTTCGTGCTGATATCTTGTCATTTTTGCAGTAAGTTACTCAGTCAGTTAGTTTAACGAAAGTTGCTTGCTTCTGTATCCCTGGCTATGCTTAACATGCCTACACCTCGGGTTGAAACTGTAGAGACGAAAATGTTGCATCTTTGCGGGCTTTAGACGCCAGTTTGAAGGAGAAACTTACTACTTGGCTCAGTCCTGTGGCATTGGAGCTTCACCAAATTACTTGGGACGATCCTGCTTCTTTGCTTGAGAAAATTGTGGCATATGAGGTAACTTCCTGTTTATCCACCTGTTTATGTATTCTCTGCTTTCTGCTTTCCCCCTCAATCATCATGGTTCAGTTGTTTGCAGGCTGTACATCCTATCAGCAATCTCTTAGACCTGAAAAGACGATTAGGTGTCGGTCGTCGTTGTTTTGGATATTTACACCCTGCAATACCTGGTTAGTGACAGTTCCATTTTTAGTCTTCTGTCCATTATGCATAAGTGATCCTCATTCAGTATGCTGAGTTATGGACAAAGCACCTCAAAAATCTATACCATGATCTGTTCCTTTCTCCTTATCTTCTATGACGTTTTAAGGTTCTTCTCAACAAAAGACTTGTAAATATGCTGGATGAAGCTTTGAAACTAGAGACAACTTGCAAACAAACGTGCTGCTAATAATTTTGCCTGTCAGCCGACGGCGTTTAGTCCATGCAACTTTCTAGATGTAAGGACTGGGTAGATAACTTACTTAAATTTTACTTGTGGCAGCATCTGTACCCACACTTGTACTCCTTGAATAGTGTGTATTATTCCTTCTAGGTAACATGAACTGAAGGATGTGTCTTTCTCTCACCCTTTTGCTTTTAAATACTGGTTGTCTAACCTTTGACGTTCTTTCAGGCGAGCCCCTTATTTTCATTGAAGTTGCACTGTTGAAGAATGTGGCTAAAACAATTCAGGCTAGTTAAAGACACCCCATGCTGTTTATTTCAATTGATTGTTTTTTAGATAGCTGATTTCAGAGGATTCTAACCCAGGGTGTGCTCAGTGGTGGATAGTATCATTTACATATTATCACTAGGTCACCCCTTAGGTTGCTTCCAATTTATCATTGACATTTAGCTGTTGAATAATGACAGGAAGTTTTGTGGGATGATCCTCCTATTTCAGAATCTGAGGCCTCGTGTGCATTATTTTATTCCATATCATCAACTCAGGTAAAAAAAGGTTATTGGTTATTGTTATCTGTACCATCACCTGCTTTCTGTAGTGGCCTGATAGAACCTGTTTCTAGGATTCTATCGGGAATTGAAATTTAGGGATTAAGAACAGAATTAGTGATTTGAGAAGAGAAAGATAGAGAATCGGCCTAGGCCTTTAGAGGGATTGGAAACGAGAATTGAGAGGATTGGGAGAATACGGTTTAGGAGATTGTTTCTTAATATTCTTCTTCACTCCTTATGAATGAACAGATTGTTGCTTTACCTGGTAATGTACTTACAGAATTTTGACAGTCTGGCTTGGCAGGAATAAACTTAGGGAAGTTTCTTATAAAACGGGTGATCACATTGGTGAAACGAGATATGCCTCACATTTCTGTAAGTATTTTCTACTCCCTTTCCTTTTCTGTTACAGAACCAAAGAATTATTTACAGAGCATATTTCACAATGCTACAGTTGCTAATTCTTCCGTTCCACCAACTTCTTATCAATCTGTAGCACCATCCCGATTTTGGTTAAATCTATTACCTTAGTTCTATTCTTATCTTTTTACAAAACCAGAGAGAAATAGAGGGAGGGACTGTTGAACCTCACAACACTATTGTTCTGGCAGACATTTGCTACTCTCAGCCCTATCCCTGGGTACATGCAATGGCTGCTTTGTAAGTTGGCATCTCAGTCGCAGGCACCATCAGGTGCATCTGATTCCCCTTTTATGGAGAGGTTACTTGAACCAAAGGAAGAAAGTGCCCTCATAAACTCCTCTAGGTGAGTTTCATAATGCCGGAGATTCCTTGTACATCAGTTTCTACCTTGTAAGTTACTTGACTACGTTGTTTGTTGAGCACATTATGACATTTCCGCTTCTAGGGAGACTTATGCAGGAAAAAGTGGCGCCGAAGTGATGTTGAACATGCTGACATCAACCAACTATGATTGGGCCTCCAATGCTGAAATGCTTTCAGCATTGAAGCCTCCACTCATGAGACTCTGTGCCAGGTACTTGCATAGAAAAATCTGGAAGTCTTTGCAGGCCATATATAAGCCCATGTTTGTGCTATTGCTTGAAATGTGACATACTGCAGTCTGCATAGTCATTGGTTAAGCTAGCTGCCTGCTTTCTACATAAATTATCCTATTTGCTTCATGGAAAGTTATAAAAAGAAGTTGATGATGTAGTAAAATTGGCACTTTTCTCTCATTTTCTGGTGTGCAGAATGTATGCCTGATTTTAGCGTTCTCTGAAACAGGATATAGATATGATGGCTTTATGGATGTAGGTACCTTTTGCAAGAGAAGAAGAGAGGCAAAGCCCTAGACTCTGTTGCAAACTTTCACTTGCAAAATGGAGCGGTATATTGTACATCTTTAATATGTGGTATACCATACCTATAAGGACATAATAATAGACAAAGCCCTGCTCTAATACCATTCATGTTCTAATATGGATCAGATGATTGAAAGAATAAATTGGATGGCTGACAGATCTGAGAAAGGTCTTTGTCAAAGTGGAGGTATTATGGTGAACTATGTGTACAGGTAAGCTAATCTGCAAAACCCTTTACCTGTAATTTAGACTGCTGCGTGTCTGTTTCTGCACTGAATGCTGCTGATTATTTTAAAGTGCTAACAAGAAATACAGATTTGAGTCCCAGATTTGGCCCAAATCTCGTAAACTAATGACATGACGTTGAAATAGCAGGGTGGAGGATATCGAAGAGAATGCTCAAGCATATTTCCGAGCAGGCCACATACAGGCTTCTGAGAATGTCTGTTGCTACGTCAAGGTAAAAGTGATGCATGGCAGGCTGTACTTATTCAGGAAAAGCAATGCAACGTGAAAGTGCTATTATCTTCTCATCCTTAGTTCCTCTGATATTCAACCGTTATCTTCCTTTGGCTGTTTAAGGAACAGGAGGTCGGAGGCTTGAAGGAGAATGATGGGGAAAAGCCACTGTAACTCTGATCATCGGGAGACCAAGTATTTGAAAACATTGCTAATCTAATATGTACAGTCAATGGTGGCTCACAGGCTCAGTTATAATAAAAGTGGCTTCAACGAGCTAACGCTATCTTGTGAAAAAAGATAGCATGGTCGATTGCTGGTCTAAGATTATTTGGGAAGGAAATTCTCAGTATCCTTGGTACATCCTCCTATTTGCAGCCTTCATATAACCCATATGGATAGGCGAAAATTTAAGTCATTGGTGGTGCTTCATTTCTGAAAGGCAACTATGTATAAAAGTTTATGTTATATACATCTTAGGCATCTAGATGCTATACGAATCTTTGCACAGGTGCAGGTACAGCCGGTGACTGCAACAGTGATGGTGATCTTCTTCCTGGCCAGTCAAGTCTCGTGGCTGGTTTCCGACACGTAATCTCGCATGAGGCGCGTATTGGAGTCGCTAACCTTCTGCATCAAGTATAAAGAAGAAGAATAATGCATGGGGTGAGGGGGATTTGGTTTCTGGCATTGAAACCTGAAGAGAAACTAAGGAGGAAACTGCGAACTAGGAACCTTGAGGGCTAGTCGATGAAGGTTGTCCCACTCGAAGTCCATCTTACAGTAAGCTGATCGCACCTGCATATTCATCAACACCAACAACTATTAAAGGACTCGTGATTTCCAGGCAATGCCAGTATAACAGGATGTCATTCATCGAAAGAGTATTATGCACGAACCTCTATGATTCGCAGAGCTGGTGTTGAAGAAGACAGCATTGGGAGGCAAAACAGAGTGGGTTAGATAGATGCAGAACAGAGGTGGGCTGAAATTGCATAGAACAGAGTTGAATTTCATTCTCACTCACCCAAACCCTTGTGTCTGGAGGATTGACGCATGAGGGCAGCACAGAACTCGTCTCCGTCCTTGAGGGGATGGCTGTCAAGAAATTCCATCAACTCTGCGTGTGCTTCCCGGTTATAGGCCTGCCCGCCATCATCATCATCGAGCGTTCGTTCATTGTTCTCTCGAGAAGGGCGATAACTAAGGAAACTGAATTGGGATATAAAAACAGGACAATAAGAAGAACGAACCCTCAGCTGGGCGGATACAATCTCGAGCGCAACGTAGGTGAAGAAACTGACGAGGTACTTAGCTGCCTTGGACTCCGGCGACTCTCCAAATCCTGAGAGGTAAAAGAAATGTTCATAATTTGGCTTTTGTATGGAGAAAATGAGGGTGAGGGACTGCAGGGACAGACACCCACCAGGAACATACATCTTGTGGCAATACAGTCGACTGCCACGGCAGCTGATCGAGCGAAAAGCAGTAGACAATTGGTGGCGGCTTGTGGTGGTGGTGGTGGAGGGAGCTGGGATTGGTAATCTGTTGGGGATGAGTTTGGGTTGTAGAGAGGAGAGCCATGATGTTGGAACTACTGTGGTTGCTGATGTTGCTTCCATTCCCGGCGCTACTTCTGCTTCTGCTTCTTATCTGATTGGAGAATAGATGATTGACTCAGGTTACCCAGAACGAGGCACTCATTCGTAACCAAAAAACTACAAGGCCAAAATATCTTTGCAGAGGTCCCAGTCGTCGTTGTCTCGTTTAAAAGAATCACAAGTTCACAACAGAAAAGCACAAACCTCCTTGTAAAAAAAAAAAACAGAAAGGCACAAACCACAAAGATTTGGTACTTGGACTGTTACATGGCCTTCAGATCAACATCAGTGGCCCAAACACAAGCAGGCCGAACTTATTTATCAGGTTGGAAGAATTGGATTTGTCAAGACCACTATCGAGACTTTCAATAAATAACAACAATAATGTATTCTCTTTTTCCACAATGTCAAAACACAACCCGCCCGATTAATCCACCCGATCAACCTGATCCGCAATCTGAATTGACTAAAAGTCAATAACCCGTAACTCGTCCGACCTGCAATCCAACTAACTCGAACCTAATTGACCCGAATCCAACTAACTCGTAACTCGACCGACTCAACCCGAACTTCACCTAATCCACTTAAATAATTATTATATTATACAATATATAGTTTTTCAAAGTAAAATTTTTCATTCTAAACTTAGGTAAAATTATTTTTTTCATTTCGTATAGAGAATTTAGAAAATATGAAACTCACTTGATATTATTTATTTTAAGAAAATTACAACAATTGAAAAATGAAGGCCACTTGAACACTAAATTGTTTAACAAAATTAAAAAGGTAAATATGAAACATTAAATCAACACAATGTCAATATTAATAAGAATTGATAATTGAGATTATGGATAATATTAATATAATATATAAATGAAAATTTTGGTTAATTTAACAATTCAATAAAATTATCAATTATATAAATAAAATAAAGTAAAGTAATGTATTTGGTAATTTGATGTTTCTAAGAAAAGAAAAATTTTGGTGTATTCAAATTTTTGGGAAGAGAAAGAAAAGTAAAATTTGGTCCTTTGAATTTTTGAGAAAATAAACAAGGAGAAATTGTTGTGGTTTTAATTTGTGGGAAGAGAAAGAAGTGGGAAAGTTTAGTTCTTTAATTATGAAAGAGAAATAAGGAGGAAAATTTTGAGTTTTCAATTTTTTGTAGAAGGAAGGAAGAGAGAAATTTGGTTCCTCAATTTTATGGAAGAGAAAGAGGAGGGAAAATTGAGTGTTTCTAATTTATGGAAAGATAAAGAAGGAAACAAATTTGGTGTTTTCAATTTTTTGGGTTTTCAAAATTTTAGCCTTTGAAATATGAATCTTTAATTTTTATATGGAGGGTATGACTAGTTAAATTTATTCTTATATGCTTTGAAGGCTAATATATATATATATATATATATATATATATATATATATATATATAATTGTTTATGGGCTAATAACTAAATTAACTATTAGTTACAACAATAATTTGTTTTAGATAAATTTGCTTGATTTGTCTACTTGTTTTCTATACTTTTACATTTATTGAAACTTCAACACTACATGATCGTTATTTTACAACACTTAGTAAAATTTTGGCACATTTAAGTTGTGTTCGAGTTGAACTTTTATTTCAAAATAGGGGTTAAACTTGCATGTTAAGTCATGCAAATTGCAATAACTCAGTCGGGTTGCGGGTTTGAAATTTTTGGTTAATCGAGTTGCGGCCTTGCGGGTCACTTTGGAATGGAAAATGAGAGGGAGGTTAGGGTGGGAACTTTGGAATAAAAATTTTATGGGCGGGTGAATATCAACCAACAATTATACTAAACTTGATAAGTAATCTTTGACGGTTCGTTGTTCAGGATATTAAGTATATGGTTAGGGTATACGGTATAAGGTACATATGGTTTAGTGTGTATATGGTTAGGGTATAAGGTATTTATGGTTTTGACGGTTCTAGGGTTTTATTTATTAACATATGCTCACTTGAAGTCATTTGAAGTATTTAACGGCAGGAGGTCCTTTTTTAATTTATTTTTATGGTACGTGGTTAGGGTACAGGGTATATGGTGTAGAGTATAAGATATATGGTTAGAATATAGCAATTAGCAAATATCACTTTTTATCTCTGTTTTGAAAATCAAAGTATGAATTTCACTTTTAAATTAACTATACTAGCAAAATCACAACTCATAAGGATATATGGTTAAGGTATAGGGTATATGTTTAGTGTATAATGTATTGATGATTTAGGGTATACAATCAACAACATATACTAACTTAATATTATCGATTGAGGGTAAGGCTAAGTGTATAGGATATATGTTATTGAGTAAGCTATGATTGAAGTCATAACAAATTTACTAAATTTGATTGCTAATTTTTAATGGTTCAATTTTTAGGATAATTCAAACAATTTTACAATAACTCATTTGCAACAGTTTACTAAAGTTATTTGGACAATGAGTTATTTCGAAATAACTCCTTTCATCACTATGCTTTTGCCAAATACCACACGCTAAATACCAGATTTGAATGGTTATACTAAACCAAATACTTTAATCCAATTACTATTGAAATAATACAAAAATAACAAATAAACATTTAATGGTGTCTTTTGGTTGCAAATGTTGATATCACCATTACTATTAGCTAGTATACTTTATCAATTATGATTAATTACATAACAAGTTTGAAAGTCATACAAATTGATTCAACATTTTAACTAGGTTTTTTACAAAAACAATTAAGTATATATATACAAGGTAGAAAGAAATTGGTTAAAAAGTTTGAGAAAAATATTTTAAATTAGTGTAATAAAATGTGTAAGTTGATAACGAGTAATGAATAAGTTATTTGATGCACTGACCCGAAAAAACCACAACCCGATCCGCCCGCAACCTGCCCGACCCAAAATCTGATGAACCCACAACCCGATTTGCCTGCAACCCGCCTGAACCCGATGAACCCGCAACCCATTTGAACCCGAACCCGATGAACCCAAACTCGACTAACCTGCAATCTGACTAACCTGCAACCAGATTGAAACCAGCTCGAACCCGCCCGATTGACACCTATAAGGCTATAACCACAAGGTACCAAAAGGAAATAGTTGGGTAGTTAGCATAAAAAGTCAAAAACATATTCACTTTGTACAAAACGGTCACAAACCTTTAATTGCACGTTTTAGTAACATATGTTTGGACCAATAACAAAAAGATAATTCCGTCCATCTCCGTTAAAAACCCCGTTATTTCCATCCAATCAACATGCCATGTCATTTAAAATATTAATAAAAAAATTAATAACCAAACGGATTGAACTGATAACCCAACCGAAAACCCTATACCCCACCCCAAAATCTTGGAGATAGAAGCACTCCCCTCCGCCTCGGTTCCTCCTTGATCTCGCCAGTTACATGGATATAGCTTCTCTCTCCCTCGTCTCTTCGCTGGCACCAGCAATGCTAGATCCCTCTCAATAATCTTCCCCAAATAAACACTCCTAAGTAATCCAATGGTTTATGTCTTCAACTGTTGGGCGCGCGCATGAATACTGCTAGATCGGGATCTTTTGCCCAAATCTGTTAGTTTATTATTTGATTAGGGATTAGTAGTGTGGAGTAAGAATGTGACGGCGAAGATGGTGGTAATGGGGTGATAAGAAACTCTTTGGCTCCTCAGCTATTTAGTGAAGTGATTACCTTCTTAGGAAGCAAAGCCTCGTTCATGTCCCAATCCCAAATGAGAGTTGCCAGAGTCACCGATGGCTATTTCGATTAGTGAATAGTAGTGATTGTTAGTTTACTATTTGATTAGAGATTGGTAGTGATGCTTTCCTCTATGGTTGTACAGAGCGATTCATCTCCCAGAATCATCGTCGGCCTAAAAAAATTCCCCGCCGCCGATCACCTCCTCTGGTCACATCACCGGCGGGTAATTAGCATAAATGGTCACAAAACTTTGCACTTAGTACAAAACGGTCACAAAACTTTGCACTTAGTACAAAACAGTCACAAACCTTTAATTTGTAACCATTTGATAACAAAACTTTTTACTTAGAACAAAACGGTCACAAATTAAACAGTGTGACCATTTCATACCAGTTCAAACTTTTGTTACCGTGTCGTTGCAAATTAGACTTTTGGTGACCGTTTTGTACAAATTAAGTTCAAAAGTTTGAACGCTCAATTACCGTTACAATTCGCTCTAGTTGTATGGTGGTTTTGTTAATGTATGTGAATGATATGATCGTCATAAAGGATGACAACGAGAGAATTCAATGGCTCACAAAAGGGTTCCAGACTGCTTTTTAGTTGAAAAAACTCTGTCTACTTTCTTGGTATCGAAATTTGTTTTTGATAGATTGGTATCGAAATTGAAAGGTCAACTGAGGGCATTCTTATTTGGCAAAGCAAATATGTCGATGAACACATGAGCTGACATCTTATATGTCGTTCAAGTGGTTAGTGTCATATACTTAACAAACAAACTACCCGACCTCAAAACATGACAAACATTTAATTTGTAACGATTCGGTAACAAACCTTTTCATTTAAAACAAAACGGTCACAAATTAAATAGCGGTGACCATTTTATACAATTTCAAAGTTTTGTTACCGTATTGTTACAAATTAAAGGTTTGTGACCATTTTGTACTAAGTGCAAAGGTTTGTTACCATTTATGCTAATTGCCCCATCACCGGCCTGAACCAAATACCCGCCACCATTCGCCTCCATGGTCGCATCACCCGCCTGAACCAAACGCTCACCATCGATGTCGTTCGATTGGTAGGGTTTAATTGGTTTTTATTTTATTTTATTTATTAATTATGTTGATGATGTGGATGCTGACGGGACTGTTGATTGGACCAAACTAACAAAATTTTGGATGGAGATGGACAAAATTATCTTTTTGTTATTAGTCCAAACATATGTTACTGACACGTGCAAAATTAAAGGTTTGTGACCATTTTGTACAAAGTGAATAGTTTTGTGATCATAATTAGCCTGAAATAGTTAGATACAAAATGTACAAGAACGTTGCAGTTCAGGTCACAAATAAGAAAAAAAACATTGGTAGAGTAATAAACAATCCAACGATGAAAGGGTATTTTGCATGTGTTCACACTTGAGTTTTGCACTTCAATATATTTTGTTGAATCAGAAACGACGGTTATTATTTTTTAGATTAAATGAATCTTTTGACTTGGATTAGAGAATTAGGGCCCCCACGGTTCACCCATTAGAGGTTAGGGTATAGTATCATGCCCAAATTTTCGGTTAATTTGTGCTCTAAATAGTAAAACTTGGCGGGCGTACAATGTACGACTCACGTACGCTAGCCTGAACCATATATATATAAATGGAG